GGGGGCTGTTCTCCATGGCAGAATATCAGCAGCACAGGTGTCTTTCTCATCCCTACCTCAGAAAAGCATATTCTGCTTAATTTATGCTTATACACAGTAACTAATTAGCCATTCAGATTTCTGTACACACATGAACTATCATGTCCAATTCTTAACAATGAATGCTATGCCATTTGAAAATTAAAATAGCTCTCAAAGTAGAAAGTTTATTCATGGTTTTCAGTTCTTGCATTGCAGAAATAAAAATAACAATGCGGAATAGAAAAAATGACTGAAAATAATTTTAAAACCACCAATGTCCTCAATATTAAAACACTGAAAAGAATAAAAAGTAAAGTAATAAGCTTAACAAAATAAAGTACAAAATCATCTATTTCCATTGAACAATTCATTTAGGTAACAAAAAGGCTAATTAATAATTAAGTCTTGCTATGAATTTGAACAGGGACTGACGTTTTAGTTTTGCTGACCTGTGTAACTTGACTATTCTCTCGGGGTTCTCAGATGCTTTCTCTTCTATGAAACCTATTTTGTACCTGAGAAGCAACAAAGAAAAACAAACAAAAAGCTATTTAAAGTTACCTTTTTTCACTTCCTCTTCAGCCATACTTCTGCAAAAATGCAGTCTATACTTGGCTTCCCCTTCTTGCTTTCCACCCACTTGTCTCTTTTCAGTCTGCCCCAGCCCATGCCTCTACCCACCAAAGCAATAGACAGGTACCTCCTTGGTGCCACCCGAATGTATATTTTTGGTCCTTCATTTCCTTTTCACTGCCCACCACCACTCGTTTTCCATAGGCTTCTATTACACCCTCTCACATGCATTCTACCACTCTGCCAATCTTCTTTCTCCTGGGCTAGCTACTTGATGTGTACAACTTTAATTAACACATTTAGGTCCCCTATATTCCTGCCTCTAATCCACATGCCTCTGGAGTCCCAAACTGGACATCCAAGACCCTTCTGACCATGTTCTAGGCTGATCCACAAGTACTTTATACCCTCACAGTCCCAAGCATGAGCTTATCCAAGCCCCTTCATAAACTCAATGCCACTGAGTAGATTCCGACTCACAGCGAACCTACTGGGCAATGCACAACAGCCCCTGTGGGTTTCTGAGGCTGTAAATCTTTATTGTAGCACATACCCTTTATCTTTCACCAGATGGGTTTGAACTGCTGACCTTGCAGCTAAAAGCCCTAAATATAACCCACTATGACACCAGGGTTCTTTAAGACCCTTCATAAAGCCAAACCAAACTCACGGCTGTCAAGCTGATTCTAACTCACAGTGACCCTATGGAGAGGGTAGGACTGCCCTTCTAAGCTTCCGAGACTGTAACTCTCTACAGGAGTTGAAAGCCAGCCTTTCCTGCAGAACAGCTGGTGGTTTTGAACTGCTGACCATGTGGTTTGCAGCTCAACATGTAACCACTACTATAGCCTCACTGTTATTTCAACATTTGATCTACATTAAAAAAATATTTTTAATAATATAAGAAAAAGGTGCCCTAGGCATATGCAATTGAAATATATTACTTTCTATATGCACTTTGGATATAGTGTGTATCAGTACACTAAAAAATGATTAAATTTATTTATGACAGTTCTCCACACTTAGCTAAACACAACTTTTTCAGTATACCAAATGATGTCTTGCATAAGATCACTCTGAAGGATATCCATTTGATAAATGATAAGCTAGAGCAGCGGTTCTCAACCTGTGGGTTGCAACCCCTTTGGGGGTCAAATCGGGGTTGCCCAGTTCAGTAGCAAAATTACAGTTATGAAGTAGCAACGAAAATAATTTTATGTTTGGGGGTCACCACAACATGAGGAACTGTATTAAAGGGTCACGGCATTAAGAAGGATGAGAACTACTGAGCTAAAGGATGGATTTTGTGGATTAACACAAGAACCTCTGTATAATAAACTATACCTATGAAAATGTGTAACTGAATTTCTACATACTTAAACTGTAATTTATAAATGCTCACAATTTGTGAATGCATACTTTGACTTCTAGATATAGTTATGTTATAATTTTTGCAGCAGATTCCTCTTTCTAATTAGTTCTAATTTTCAATTAGTTTGATATTAAAATTGACTAGCATATACAATTAGTAGAGGTGAAGTTCCCTGAGTGGAAGAGGAAACTGGGATGCTACACAGTATTTAAAATGTTAAAAGGAAAACCTACCAACTGATTCATTTACATGCAAAAGACTTAAGACCTAGCACGTAATCATACTACATCAGCTTCAAAACTGCTTGCATTTTCAATCTTGCCTTTGTCATTCAAAGAATGGCAGGATGGCAGGGGAAGGCTGCCAAGCATACAAAGTAAGTTTGTTTGTTTTTTAATCATTTTATTGGGGACTAGTACAACTCTTATAATCCATACATACTTGTCAAGCACATTTGTACATTTGTTGCTATCATCATTCTCAAAACATTTGCTTTCTACTTGAGCCCTTGATATCAGCTCATTTCCCCCACTCCCCGCTCCCACCTCCCTCATGAACCCTTGAAAATTTGTAAATTATTATTATTTTGTCATATCTTACACTGTCCAACGGTCTCTATTCAACCACTTTTCTGTTGTCCATCCCCCAGGGAGGAGGTTATATGTAGATCCTTGTAATAGGTTCCCCCTTTCTACCGCACCTTCCCTCCACCCTCCCGGTATCACCACTCTCACCACTGGTCCTGAAGGGATAGCTGTCCTGGATTCCCTGTGTTTCCAGTTCCTATCTGTACCAGTGTACATCCTCTGGTCTAGCCAGATTTGTAAGGTAGAATTGGGATCATGACAGTGGGGGAAGGAAGCATGTAAGAACTGGAGGAAACATTTAAGAACTAGAGGAAAGTTGTATGTTTCATCGTAGATATCCTGCACCCTGACTGACTCGTCTCCTCCTTACGACCCTTCTGTAAGGGGGTGTCCAGTTGCCTACAGATGGGCTTTGGGTCTCCACTCTGTACTCCCCCTCATTTACAATGATATGATTTTTTGTTCTTTGATGCCTGATACCTGATCCCTTCGACACCTCGTGATCACACAGGATGGTATGTTTCTTCTATGTGGGCTTTGTTGCTTCTGAGCTAGATGGCTGCTTGTTTACCTGCAAGCCTTTAAGACCCCAGATGCTATATCTTTTGATAGGCAGGCACCATCAGCTGTTCTTCACCACATTTGCTTCTGCACACATTTGTCTTCAGCGATCGTGTCAGGAAGGTGTGCATCATGGAATGCCAATTTGATAGAACAAAGTGTTCTTGCATTGAGTAAGTACTTGAGTGGAGGTCCAATGTCCATCTGCTGCCTTAATACTAAACCTATAAATATATGCACGTAGATCTATTTCCCCACCATCCTATAGAAATGTAATTACATATGTACATGCCTGTATTTAGACCTCTATAAATGCCCTTTGCTTCCTAGTTCTTTCCTCTATTTCCTTTTACAAAGTAAGTTTCTTAATGCATGTTAAGAGGAAAGACAGTTAAGGCCAAGTGGAGATATTTGGCCTAACAAATGCAGAAATCAAACAGTTTGGTGACAATGTTCTTCTCAGTAAAATAAGCAAAATTAGGGGAATAAAAGTTAAACAGTGGGGACAGAAAAAAAATACTTTAGAGCTGAAAATAAAACAGTGGCATATGTAAATCCAATATAGGAATTTTCAAAAGCTGAACTTATTTTATTAAATATAATCTTGAGCCATACTATTGGTTCAAAGGAAACTAACACTTACTTGTTGTGCCGAAATATTTCTAATGCTACTTTTGCATCAACTTCCAAAGTTTCAAAGGGAAGATCTTTATAAATTAAAGTTTGAGCATCTCTTGTGAAGGAACGCAGGTTCTCCTTAAAAAAAATGAAAAGATTGGTCTTAAGAGCACATTACTTCAAAGTATTTCTCCATAAATTAGATGAGATTACTAAGAGAGACCCTACAGGGAAGAACAGAACTGTTCCTGTGGGGTTTTAAGACTGTAAATGTTTATAGAAGTAGGAAAGTCTCATCTTTCTCCAGAGGAGAAGCTAGTGGCTTCAAACTGCTGACCCGTGGTTAATAGCCCAACACATAACCCACTATGCCACCAGGGTTCCAGTCTCAAATATATAAGGAGAGAAAATTACTAGTTTGGACCATAAAATACAAAGTTTGTATTCTGGCCCAATTCTATACATGACATACTTGTGATTAAGATGTCAGCCTCCCTGAGTAACAATACTCAAAGTTAATCCAATTACACTGTTAAAAGAGCATTTCGTGCAAATAATATAGTGGTGTGCTTATTAAAACTATGGTGTGACAAGTAGAAATGTTAAATAAGCAGCAACACACACCAAAAATTGTGTTAACATTATAAGTTTTTATAGTAAGTGGGAATATAATTTACATGATCCAGAAAGTTTCACTATAAAATGTAAATATCATACTGGCCCTGTCCAAAATATAACATATATCCCCCCCTCTATAGCCCTATTTAATAAAAATGTCAGTTTTATACATTGTTTATGAATGTTTCAATAAAAAAAACAACTATGATTGAGCCTGGAGCAACAAAAAGAGGGAGACCCACAGGACAAGGACATGGACTGCAGGTCTCACTGACGCCATGACACCAGAATAGCGGCGGTAGCTGGCCATGAGTCAGAACTGACTCGATGGCAGTGGATCTGGGCCTTTTTTCGGGGGTGGGGAACAGCGGCACTGCTCCAGCTACCAGCTACCGTTATTAAACATTTCATCAAGAACTCAGCAGATGTCTCTTCATCAAAAAAGGGAAAATGTTTACAGAGCTTCAAATTCTTCTGAGATCCACCCTCACTGGACACGCTGAGCCCCGCAGAACCCCATGTCTCCTGCCTGAAAGTAACTTTTCAACCCTGACCAGAAACTGGCTTGGAAGTCAGTTTCGCAGTTCAACTCAATCACATGTTTTCCGAGACCATTGTGCTCTTTTAAAGAATTATCTATGTTGAAAGCAAATTGCCAAATAAAAAAAAAAAAAAGAAAGCAAATTGCCAGAGCCAATAACATCAAGTTGATTCCAACTTGTGGCAACCCTCTGAGGCAGAGTGGAACCGTCCCTTAGGGTTTCCCAGGCTGCAAATCTTCACAGAAGCAGATGGCCGCAGCTTCCTCCTGGAGACTAGGAGTGATCTGGAACTGCCAATCTTTCAGTTAACAACCCAATATTTAATCCACTCGACTCCCAAGGCTCCTTTTCAACTGGCAAAGGCAACTCCAATGGACAAGCGAAAACCATGAGAGGCAGAGAGTAGGGGTGGAGGCGGGGGAACCAATATGGGCAGAGCTAGTCAGAACAGTGCCACAATGCAAAGTATGTAATACAACTAAACATGTACAAACTGTTGTTAAGAATGTATGTTTTGTTGTGTGTACATATTATTTATTTTCAACTTTTTATGATGAATTGGGCAAAGATTTACAAAGTAAATCAGTCTTTCATTCAACAATTCATATACACCTTGTCACTGGTTGCAAACCTCACAATGTAACATCACTTATCCCACTTCCTGTTTTTCCCATTTCCAGCCTTAACTCTTACTACCTTCTGAATTCTGTCGTGGTCAAATGCTGCCTTTTTGATCTTGAATGGTTCATTGTTCTAAGGAGTGGGTACTTCCCTAGTGTTATTATTCACCCACACACTTATCTGGTGCTTGGCTTTGATTCTGCAAAGGTGTTCACCTGTGTGGATCATAACTATGGATAACAACGAAAGAATGAGAATTCCAGAACACTTAATTCACTTAGTTGTAAAACCTTAGACAGACCAAGAGGCAGTCGTTCAAATGGAACAAGGAAACAGTCCAGACATTAAAATCAGGAAACGTGCATCAGAGTTGACCATACATGTTCAATCGCTACGCTGAGAAAATAATCTGAGAATCACACAGCATTGAGACTGAAGAAAGATTCATTAAAACTCTGAAAACGCAACTGACACAGCCTTGCTTGCTGAAAGCAAGGAGAATTTGAAGCACTTACTGGTGAAGAGCAAAAACTAGAGTCTTCAATATGGATTCTAACTCAGGGTAAAGAAATAAAAAATTCTCACAACTGGACCAGTAGACAAAGTCACGATTTAATAGGGAAGAGACTGACTTTGTCAAGGATCTTAACTTGGATCCCCAATCAGTGCCCACAGAAGCAGCCGTCAAGAGCTCACACGACACACTGCGCTGCACAAATCTGTTAGACAAGGCCTCCCTAAAAAGTTGTAAAGCACAGACATCCCTTTGAAGACTGAGTGTGCTTGACCCTAGCCACAGTATTTTCAACCAGCTCGTATGCATGTGAACACCGGACAGTGAGATGAGGGCAGAAGATGCAGAGAATTGATACATAGGAGCTACGGTGTTGGCAGAGAATCTTGAACCTAACCGGGCCTGCCAAAAACCAAACACGTCTGCTTAGAGAAAGCACAACCAGAATACTCCTCGGAAACTGAAATGGTGGGAGTCTGTCTCATGTACTTTGATAACGTTGTGGAAACAGTCCCTGGAAGAAGACATTACCTTTGGTAAGCAGAGGGTCTAAAGGAAGAAGTCAAGTGGCATTGAAGGCACCAGCCAAAAACAAGGCTATGGAAATTGTTGGAATACCAATTGAAATATTTCAACGAGCTGATCACTGGAAGTACTCGCTGTCCATGCCAAGGAATTTGGAAGACAGCTACTTGGCCAACTGACTGGAAGAGATCCATATTTGTACTCATTCTAAAGAAAGGTGACCCAACAGAATGCCCATAATAAAACAATATCATTGTTATCACATGCAAGTAAGTAAACTTTTGCTGAAGATCATCCAACAATGACTGCAGCAGTTCACTGACAGGGAACGAACTGACAGAGGTCCAGGCCACATTCAGAAGATGTGGAGCAAAAGATACAATGACTGATGTCAGGTGGATCTTGGCTGAAAGCAGAGAATACCAAAACGGTGTTTACTTGTGTTCCATTAATTATGCAAAGGTATTTGACTGTGTGGACCATAGCAAACTATGAAGAATAGGAATTCCAGAACACTACATCATGCTCATGCGGAATCTATACGTGGATCAAGAGGCAGCCGTGGGAACATAACAAGGGAATACTAGTGGTTTAAAATCAGGAAAAGTGTGTGTCAGGGTTGTATCCTCTCACTACCCTTTTTCAGTCTGAATGCTGAGCAAATCAGAGAAGCTGAATTAAATTTAAAAGAATGTGGCATCAAGATTAGAAGACTTATTAACAACCTGAGATGCTCAGATGACACAACCTTGCTGGCTGAAAGTGAGGAGGACTTGAAGCACTTGCTGATGAAGACCAAGGATTGCAGCCTTCAGGACGCATTACAACTCCATGTAAAGAACTGGACCAGTAAGTAACATCATGATAAATGGATAGGATTTTAACTTGCTTGGATCCTCAATCAATGCTCATGGAAGTAGCAGTGAAGAGATCAAAAGAAGTGTTGCATTAGGTAAATTTGTTGCATAAATTTAAACAACTGAAAAGAAAGGATGTTACTTTGAGGACCAAGGTGGACCTGACCCAAGTCATGGTACTTTCCATTGCCTCATATGCATGTGAAAGTTAGACACTGAATAAGGAAGACCAAAGAAGAATAGGTGCATTTGAATTGTGGTGCTGGAGAAGACTATTCAAAGAATCAGGGACTGCTCAAAGGACGAACAGTCTGTGTTGGGAGAAGGAAGGCTAGCGTACTCCTTACAGGCAAGACTGCACCTTACATAACATACATACTGCTGCACATGTTGTCAGGAGAGACCAGTCTTTGGAGAAGGACGTCATGCTTGGGTAAAGTAGAGTAACAGTGAAAAAGAGGAAGACAAGGCCTTCAACGAGATGAACTGACACCATGTGTGCACAAATGGGCTCAGGCATGGGAACAATTGTGAGGACAGCACAGGACCAGGCAGTGCTTCGTTGTGCTGCACACAGGTTGCTATGGGTTGGAACCGACTCCGTGGCGCCTAACAACAACAAAGCAGAGGGTCTGAGAAAAGGAAGACCCTCAATAGTGTTTGGCTGAAAACTGAGCCATGGGGATATTGTGCTTATTTTTCACCAAAATGGAAAAATTTGAATTTTATACTATAAGTTATCACAAAGTATCAATCCCTATTGTGCATATAATTTTTGCATTAAAAATTTTATCAAACTATTTCTGTGAATTTCCTATTACAAGTCTTCACACGAAATAACTGTCATTTACTCTTAAAGATACAGTTTACTGCAGAGCAAATCCACATTCAAGGTTTTATATATGTGTTACTTCAAAGTAACTCTGCCCTACTTTCTCTAAGCCTTCTACTCACCCCATGGAATCTGTACTTAGCTAGTACATTTATTAGAGAAAACTTAAAAAGAAGAAAAAAGCAGCAGCGTCATAGATAACAAGAGTTGAGTCTTGATGAATGAGTCTTCGCTTCAAACCCAGTGCCATCGAGTCCAAGTAAAACTCGTTTCTTCTATTCAGGGCCACGAAAGGAAGCAGCAGCTGCATTTGACAAGACCTTTCCCTCCCACTTTCTCCTCCCTCCCTTCCTCTCAATATTGACTAACATGCGCACGATTACATAATTCCAAAGCTAGAATCTAACCCTGGATCTCTCCTATGTCAACAATCATAAATTTACCAAAAATAAATAGTATCAATTATAATTGTAAGATGCCCACTGTAAAATCATCTGTTTTGGGAAACACTGAAATGGGGAGTTGATAAAATACAATCAGCCATACAACATCCTTTTTTCGGAGGGCCAGCTTTCTCTAAGGTACACAGTTTGGTTCAGACTTTCCTGCTGTATAGTGCTGGTGATCTGCTTCCCCAAACCAGCCATCTCTAACCCTATGGCACACCCTCTACTCTGACACCTAAGGAGTCACCACCAGGCAGAACCAACTTGACGGCAACTGGGAACTGGTGCTGCTACTGCTCCCCCAAAGCCACAATAACAGCCCACCTTACATGACGGAGGAAGGCTGTTCACAAAGGAAGCTTGCTACTTGGTGCTGTGGGCAGGAGCAGCTTTACCAGTGGTCTGACTTGTTCAGTTCTGCACAGTTCTCCACGTGGAAACTTCCTGTTAAAAAGGAACTTGTAGAGTGTCTAAAATGCTTTACGCAGTGATTTCCAAGAAGCTCAGTTCCAGGTCCACCACATCAACTAAGAGAGCAAAGCATCCCTAAGGTTCCCAGCATCTACTGTAATAACTGACGACCACTATCTTAGGGAATAATAAAAAAGGCTTTTGGGAAAAAGTCAAATAAAGCATAAAACTGATAAGCAACTGACCATGCAATTGTGAATAGATTCATTCTCCTGCCTGTCTTAGTTACAGTGAAAAAACAAACAATAACACGTTCTTTTAAATATCCTTAACACGCATTACAATCCAATGATATCAACATAGGCTTCATTCTAACAGAGAAAGGCACTAAAATTAATACCCAACATAATTAAAGAGCTTACTTTTGTTGGCATCCATTCATCGAGTCTCTGATCCAAAACTACATCATAGCAGAAGGCTCCAGCAATTACTGAAAATCCAACAATGAAGGATTAGTAATGTCTCCCAAATAAACAAGTATTAAACAGCTGCCCCTACCCAGCTCGTCAGAGCTCTTAGCGCTTTTCCCTCCCCGCCAAATTAACTCACCCTTTGTTAACACCCAAGAGGCTGATGTTTTGTAAAATAGGCACGTTTTCTCCAAGAAAAGTATCACTGTAGAAATTTCAAATAGTCACTCGACATAACAATCCCAAAGGGACAGAAAGAGGAAAGATAAGCAGTAACCCCTTATCTTTATATTCCATTCCACGGTTTTAGTTACCCATAATTGAAAATGTTAAATGAAAAATTCCAAAAACAATTCATGTTACCTACAATACATGGAAAGTTTGTATGACAATTTATATTAAATAAAATAAAAAAATCATCTCCACGCTGCATCAAAATCTCCCCAAGTTGTGAATCACCCTTTTGTTCAGCTATCCACGCTGTATGCACTCCCCACTCTTTTGTCACTTAGTAGCTAGCTAGGTAGCACAGTGTGTGTTGACCCAAAGCTCATGAGTAGCGACGTTGGTAATATAAATATGCCAGAGAAGCTGAGTCACACTTCCTTAAGTGCAAAGTGAAAGCTCCCGGCTGGGATCATATTCATCTAACTTTTACTACAGTATATTGTTATAATGGGTCTATTTTATTATCACTGCTATTGATCTCTTTTGGTGCTTATTAATTACACTTTGTCATAGGTATGTGTGTATGAGAAAAAACCATAGTACACGTAGGGTTTAGTGCGAGGCATGGTCTCCAGCAGCCACTGAGTGTCGTGGAACGTATCTCCCTGTGGGTAGGGGACAATAAGTCTATAATCAGTAGACAAATAAATAAATGGGTGTGAAATACTGAATGTTTCTTTTGTAAATCTTCTAAACCTCTTCACTATCTTTTCTTTTGATAAAAATGTATGCGTAGGGGAGGGAGAGGGTAAAGGGGCGCTGTTATTAAAGAGTTCTTTTGAAACTGACTGAGGAAGCAACTGCACCATACTGCTAGATGTGAATAACTATGGAATGTTATTATCTGTAAGAGCTCCCAATGATTCAAAAAATGCAACCAAAATATATATATATATGCACATTCACATGGGCAAAAAGGATTCATAAAGTAGAGGTGAAAAATTAAGTTCCCTTTCCATCATTCCTATTCCTACCAAATCAACACTATGTAGTATCTTTTGCCTTTTTTTCAAATACTTCTGTTACATGTACTTCCCCCTTCAAAAACATGACCTGTTCCACATGCTGCTGTAGATCTTGATTTCAGGAGATCTTAAACCGAGATCACTGTAGGGTTTGCAATGCGTCAGAATCGATTCAGCATCACACAATAACTGTACCAGGAGTTTTATTTCATTTTTTTTAGTAGTTAAATAGTATTCCACTGAAAATGATTTATCACATTTTATGTATTCAAAACCCCATATAAGCACATTTATATTATTTTTGGGTTTGGGCTATTCAATATCTTAATTATCACCTTTATTCCTATCACTTTAACTTCTTTTGTAAGTATAAAACAAATAGGTATACTTTTAATGTTAATCAAAGTATAAGCCAAAAAGAATTACAGGCAATCCCTGGCTTACACGTTCCTGTGTCTTTAAGAATCTGTAGGTAAGTTGAAATAGGTGCATATGGAACATATTTAGTGCAAGAATAAGGAGCCCTGGTGGTGTGTGTTTCCTATCCACAAGGCCCGCAGTTTTCTGAGGGAGAAAGATGAGGCTTGTTGCTCCCATAAACACTTACAGCCTCGGAAACCCTAGACAGGGTCACTATGAGTTAGAATTGACTCAATGGCAGTGATGGCAACAGGTTTTAATGCAAGAAAAGGTTCAATGATTTAAACGGGGACTGTGATGAAGAATTTGCTGAAGTAGGGCCAGTTCAGGGAGCCCTGGTGGCACAGCGGGTTGGATCCAGAGCACAGATTTACAAAACAGAAAAGGGCAACTTCAAATTGCCTGACAATTCTTCATTCAGGGACTTAATGCATACCATTTTCAAATTCCCCCCAATTGTGTATACTACTATTCTCGTCACATCTTTGTCAGTAACAGTTGTTATCACAGTTAACCTTTATCAATCTGCTAAAGCTATCTTATTGGTGTGTGACTATGTCATTCAAATGAAATTAAGTATTTCCAATTTGGAAACTGCCATTCACATTGTTCATTTTCTATTAAGTGCTTACCATATGCATGTACAAAGTCTTTAACAAAAACGATGGCATCTGCATTAGCAAAGCAAAGTTAATACGGATTATCAACCAGAACACAGAAAAGAGCCTGTACCTTTCCACCTTCCATCGGTCCAGAGGAGCCCATTTCTAGCATCATGGGTGTTTCTCATAAAATAACACCAACAGCTCATGCCAGCAACCTGCCTAGACCTCTAGTTCCCCTCCTTCACACATTCAAAGACAACGCTCTTCACTGATGGTTGACCTCCAATGTGTCAGATTTGACTCACTGGCAGTGGGAATGATTTCTTCACCTCACATCAATAGGGTGGATGTAATTACCCCTAAAAAATGCAACCGGTGTGTAGGAATATTTTATTTAAAATTATCTTTAAGGACTATGGAGGGCCCATATATATTTTCATACATACCAGGCACCTCTGGAGCTCTGACCAAATTGACCACATACTCCTCTTTAAACGCCCGCTCTATGACACAGCCCATCAGCATGGCACAAGAGCGCCAATAAGCCTAAGGGAAAGGAAGCGAACAGATTTAATGCACGCTAAGAGTCGCTATACTTTCTTTCATTTTAAAAATCTGGATCAACTTTGACTCAGGAAATATTTCTCAAACTGTACGAATAGTTAGCATTGGGCTCTGGCATTACCTCTACTTTTATTCATCAAAGCAAACTCCACAAAAGAACGAAGTGCCAGGCTTGTGCTGTGGGTATGTTTCTGTACAAGCTACCACACACAACAATGGTTATAAACCAACAGAAAGTGCTACTGCTCATCCACAACTTTATTTTGAGACCCATGTTTTTAATATGTTATTAAACTTCTTTGAAGTCTAACAAGTGAAACCTTTACTATCCAGTTTAAGACACTTGACCATTGGCCATGTTTTAACATTTTATATGTGTATTAGTCTGGGTACTTTAGAGAAACAAATCTACTGAACTCATGTAGAAGAGAGAGTTTTATATAAAGGCTAAGTGCACATCAAGAAAACATCCCAAACCCAGTGCTGCCCAAGCCCACAAGTCCAACATTAACCCATATGTCCGACACCAATCCACAAAGTCCTCCTCAAACTCACAAAACAGACAAAATGATGCTGACTGCAGGAGGAAAGCCAAGTCAGTGAATGTGTAAGCATCTCAGTGCTCCACATGGCTGCTTCAGCACCCAGGGCTGCATCAGGGTACGTCCATTTGGCTTCTCCTCAGGGATGTCTTGCAGGAAGTGAGCCTTGCCAGCTGAAGCAGGGAACAGACTAAGGCAGCTACAGCCTGGTCCGACCATCAGAAAGCAAGAGACTCAAGAACTCCAAAGGCGAGTCTCACTGAGCCATTTATCTCTCCTCCCTTCAATTAACCCCACATGTGT